TTACCAGGCACTCTACTGTTTCCAGACAAGAAACAATCAGGGACAGCTAATCACCTCTCAACAAAGGATTCCCCCAGGCACTAAAAACTGTCAGGCCACCAAATGCTAATCAAGATGGCCAATTAAAACATTCACACCCAGCTTCAACAGGGTTCTTTAGCCCAACCGTGGACCCTCCACAGATTTATAAACCCAATTTTCCTAGTTTCCAACAGACCTCACAACCTCTGAGGATGCCTGCCACAGATGCGGGTGAAATGTCAGGAGAGAATGCTTCTAGAACATGGTTATATACCTCAAAAAACCTACAAAAACCCAATAATTCCAGCCATGAAAGTCTTCCGACAATATATATCCAAAAGTTTTTGGGGGAATATTCTCACTCCTCACAATTCTGGTTTTGTCATAATCTTAGTTCAACTGCTTTCATCATTAACGACCAAGAAAAGGAAAGAGAATTTGAAACTATCTCAGCTAAAAAAAATAGTGCTACTGGGCAGTTGTCGAGATCTGCTGCAAATTTCTGAAGGCACGACCAGAGGCCAGTTATACTACTATGGTTGGTGCTATAGAACTGCACAGTTTTAGTACTATGATTTAACTGCTATGGTTCCATGCTATTAAGTTCTGAAGTTTATAGCACTGGGATTCTAACTGCCTCTCCTTAAACTGCCAGTCCCACAACTCCATAGGACAGAATCATGGCAGCTGAAGTGGAATGCTATAAATTTTTAGTGTGAATGCACCCCACTTTGGTGCTCTGGAAAGATTCCAAACACAGGCCCTCTTTGGGCCTATCTGTGTCTTTGCACTGTGACAGAGTAGGCTTAGTGATATTGTGGGCTAAGAGATGCCTCCATGGGACAGAGCCATTCTGTTTCAGGCCAAGGAGAGGGCATGGCTCTGGGCATCCCATTTGCCTGTGTTCTAACTGGCATGACCAAGCCAGAGTCTCAGAGGCAGCAATTCCAGTACACAACCCACGATTTCACTGACTTCACTTGCACTTGACGCTGGACAGTAGGACCATGATACTACCAAAGCTTGGGCAGGACAAAGGGAGAGAAACCTGCAAATTCCCACGTCTCCAGGAGCATTTTATTCACCATACTTCCCTGTGTGGTACCAGCATGGGACCATAGCTAAAGGAACCACTGATTATCCAGTCTTGCTGGGAAGCTCTTGGCTCTATTGCATGCTGTTGCTACGTATCCTTTTGAACTGACAGAGGAGGAAGATCACACAAATACCTTCCTGGGAGAGGCAAGCTAGCAGGGCAGATTTAACAGTCAAATGGAGACACATGCCCCATGACCCCAAAACTCCGCTATGACATAAGACAGGTGGGATCTGGAGGAAAAATCTAACTATATCCGTGTACCTTGATCAAGATTTTGGCTGCTCCAACCCATTATCCCTCCAACACTACTTCCCCATCTTCTCCCCATCTCCCAAGTGTTACTATTTTGGAGCCACTGAGCATACCCACTCTGCAGAGGGATTTTGAGCATTCACAGCCCAAACATGAGAAAGCAGAAGAAATTACAAGAAAAGATGGAAAGCAAGGGGTAAAGCATACACACAGAGACACATACACGTGATATATTTTATTTCAATGACATTTTAATTAACTCCTCTTGCATACAATACACTGACTTCCAGAAAGCAGTCAATAAGAAATAATAAATCTTCACTCTTTGCTCTCCAGTGCTGGTTTTGTATGCATTGAAAATACCAATCTCTTTGTTTTTTATTTTCCCCTTGTAGTAGAAATATTGATCAAGCAGTCATTTGAGGATACATATCTTTTCCTGCCTTCCTGAAAATGGGGCGCTTCCCCTCTCCATTTAAGCAACCAACAATATACAGACCAACAATGGCTCTAGAACAGATGTGGGCAAACTTTGGCCCTCCAGGTGTTTTGGACTTCAACTCCCACAATTCCTAACAACCAGTAGGCTGTTAGGAATTGTGGGAGTTGAAGTCTAAAACACCTAGAGTGCCAAAGTTTGCCCATGCCTGCTGTAGAACATGAAGATGCTGTTATGTAGCTCATGGGGGATCAAATGTAAGAGAGTTTTACAATGACCCTACATGTCTCATAAGCAGCATCATGACTGTTAAGAAGAAATCTTTTGTGTATTCAATCAAATACAGGAAAGTGTCACATATGCAAAACGTTAGGGACTGGGCTACTTTCCAAAAATGGGGCCAATTGAAAAGTGGAACCCATGGTTGTTTAGCTTCTAAATGCAAGACCAAATGGTAAGTGCCACCAGATCTACAGAATGAAAAAAAGTGTGCCAAAAAAGCAGCAGCAGTAGTTCAAACAGCATTCCAGGGGTTGAAAGTGCAGAACATGGCTATAACTTTGATCTGTCATAATAGCAGAATGTCCAAAAACATTCATTGAAAACAAGGGATGTCTGTATAGTTCATATAAATTGGGCAGAAAGGTAATAAGCACTACAATGATACCACGCATTCATCTACTTCCCTCAAAAGGAGGCAGACCATCAGGGAGGGCCAACATTTTATTTCTCAACAAATCCTGCAAAATGGAATCAATTTACAAGGGAACAAATTCACTGACTTCTTATGGCTATACTGAACTGTCCAATGAGATACAGCAGCGGTGTATCCCAGGGCTACATAACTCCCAACAACCCTTTCTTTGGTCCTCAATTCCTCCAGACTACTGCTCTTTTCTAGAAACCTCAGGACAAGCAATTCATCTTTTAAATAGAATGTAGATTATCCTGGTGCTGTTTAAAATCAAATAATACCTACTTTCAAGAACCAGATATTAACTTCTTTCAAGTTCTTTTTTCCTGCAATTTTTGGTGGTCCTTAAGGCCACCACAAAGTCCTAGGGGCAGAAAAATAGACTTCAGACTCACACTGTAGTTGTCCTTCTAGCCCAGGAAAGAGCCTACAAGTCACAGGTGGGCTACCATCTGAGCAGGAGAACCACTTTGTATCATTGCTATGTCAACATCCCCTCCTCTTCCTGTTTGGATCACAGACCATCAGGGCTAAATGCCGATATCACTGTAAACTGTTACTGAACTTAGCAATGGCAATTACTGATACATTTGTTATCCTTCAATGTACAATTGGACTCTTGCTAGGTTTTTCATACACCTTCTCCATTTGCCAAAACAAAACAAATTTAAAAAAGACGTGGTTTTCTCAATTTAAAACAGAAAGGTCACTCATCTAAACAGTTGCATATGACAATAAGATCCAAAAAAGAAAGAAAAGCAAGCATATTTTCTATGCTCTCTACCAACAGACTTGAAAACGCATTCTGTTGGAAGATTATACCCCATCTGATAAATAACTTACATTATAAGAGTACTGGTAAGTAGACAATGCCATACACTAACGTAATTCTACTTTGTCATTGCCCATTTCATCCTTTATGTATAAACACCTATCTACCCCACTTAAGACACTTCCATTCACAGAATTCATAGAATTCATTAAGAAGGTCTGTTATTTACATCAGCAGAACATATAATTTTAAAAAGAGCCCACTCCAATTCTATCTTTAATCTGATCACTAGGGCATCTATCTACATACAGTAGATACATGCATCTATCTACATATTGCTTGGGTAAAGTTCCATCTAGATAGGAAAAAATGGCTCCAGAAATGGTTTCATAATGTCCTCATTTAATTAGTTAATTGTTGAGAAACATCACCTTCCAGAGACAGAATTCCAGAATTATAGACTTGGAAGAGACCACAAAGGCCATCTAGTCCAACCCCCTACCATGCAGAACTCCACTCCACTCTAATCCTAGACCTTCATGTTTACTTGGGTGCTTCTAGTTCAATTCTCCTAAGATTGTATTGGACTTTGGTCCCTAAGCAAGATGGTCCGTTCTGGCTGGATGATGCAAAGGGCAGCCAAACTCACTTAGAGGACAGCAGGCTGGAGAAAACAGGTCCAGATCAATTGTATTACCTATCAAAACCATGGGGCAATTCTTCAGTCTCTCCCTCCTTTAGTAGAATCATTGAACCTGAAGAGACCCCAAGGACCATCCAGTGAAATGCCTTGCCATTCAGGAAAAGCAAAATCAGCACTCTCAACAGATGGCCATTCCGCCTCTGCTCAAAAGTCTCCAGAGAAGGAGATTCCACCACACTCCCACGCAGCATATTCTACTATCAAACAGTTCTTACTCTCATTTCCTGTACCCATGGCTTCATGTCCTAGTCTCTGGAGCAATAGAAAACAAGCTTGCTCCCTCCTCATTATGATATCCTTTCATATCTTTTCATGTCTAAACTGAGCTATCATGTCCCCTCTGAACCTTCTCTTTTCCAAGCTAAACACACCCAATTCCCTAAGCATCTCTTCACAGGGCTTGGCTTTCAGACCTTTGACAATTTTAGCTGCTCTTCTCTGGATATGTTCCAGCTTGTCAATATCCTTCTTAAATTGTGGTGCCCATGACAGGACACAATATTCCAGGTGAAGTATGACCAAAGCAGTAGCAAGTGGTACTGTTACTTGTGTAGATCAGTGGTTCCCAACCTTTGGTCCTCCAGTTGTTTTGGACTTCAACTCCCAGAAATTCCAGCCAGCTTACCAGCTGTTAGGAATTGTGGGAGCTGAAGTCCAAAATACCTGGAGGGCCAAAGGTTTGGAGCCACTGATCTAGACACTATCATCCTATTGGTGTAGTCTAGAATTGCATTGGTTTTTAAAACTGCCACATCACACTGTTAATCCATGTTAAGCTTTTGGTGTACTAAGCTGGGCTAAGTCAATGTGATTCTCATATGCATCAATAGGAGTACAGTGTCTAGACTAGATCAAGGGAAGTAATAGTACCTCTCTATTTTGCTTTGGTCAGATATTTTATTGCATGTTGCTATCACGTAATACCAGGAATTGTCCCATGGACTTCACAGGAATTAACCAACTGTGTGTATATGATGGGTATACATACATGTGCCCAATTATATAGTCAGTGAATTTAGCTTGAATCCTTAAATTATTTACTCCAGAATTATTTGAACACAACAAACATTCCCAGAACATTTCACAATTCAGGTCAGATTATAACCAATCTTTCAGCATTTGTTGACTGGCAGTACATACAGAACAAATGAGCTATGGAGGCATACTCACCTACAATAAATCAGTGTAAGCACTGCAAAGTTGCACAACTGCTGAAACCTTTCTGCCATTAAAAATATATGGGATATCTTCCTTCTCCACTGAAATCATAAATTAATGAGCTACATAAACAGCACTTTAGCAAACATCTGGATCATCAGAATCTTTTGTTACAATTGCTTTTCATGCAAAGCCATATACACTAAGAGGTGGGAACAGGCCTTAGCTCTCAGTCTATGAAGTTTTGCTCCATACCATATTTCCTACATATTTTAAATGAATATCATTGACATCATACATTCCAATTAGCCGGACATTATGCTAGATCACATAAAACAGCTGTAGAAACCTAGAAGTGGCCAGTACATTCTGTGAAAGATAATTGTCTCATTTCAGGTCATATTCTAGTTTACATATTATATAAATAATTATATTACATGTATGCTATAAGAAAAACCCAGTCAATAGGCAGGGTGTATGTTTTCCAGATGATTCAGGAACTTTGCAGGGATCTGACTTTTTCTTCAATGTATAAGTCCGAGAAACATTACCAAAGGCAGACTGGGAGAGGGGTACATTGGCAAGGTGAAGCAGGCCTGTGACCCACTTCCTACTTTATCTACCTCTAACATCCATGTTATCCAGCCATATTTGGATACACAATGAAAGTAAAGGGAAATGTTATCAGAGACAGAGGGGTGTCTGAAGAAAACGTCAGTGGAGAGACAGGTCTATCCAATGGGTTCTTTTACTACTCCCAAAATACTTTAATAATGCAGACTTTATTGGACTTTATCAATAACACACATCTGAAGCTGGCTCAGTATCCCATAAGTCACTGCACTGACAGGCCTACAAATTAAATATATTACTCTGGTTTCTTCAGGGATTTTGGCACAGTCACCAAGTTCTTCACAATAAAATCCCTGAGAATTAATTAAAGTAGCAGTATTTCATCACAACTGAAACATCTAGCTGAAGGGTTCGGTTTGACAGAGAAAGTTCAAGCCAATTTTTTATTGTTCTCCATATTCTGCACTCTAGCTAAAAACTCAAGGAGAAGTTTTGCTGTCTTCCTGGGCCGCTCCACAACAACAGTGTGTCCACAGTTCTCCAGGACTTGTATTTGACAATCAGGAATCGCTTTTGCTAGAATGTCTGCTCCGGAAACATCAAGGACCTAGGGAGAGAAAGAAAAAAAAGACTGAAATGCAAGAGAGAAAAGGGCACCACCCAGCAGAACAAAACAGCATCGTCAAAGACTAATTATACCTTATATACACCCCTGTCTAGGTTTTGAACATCTACCTTTGTTAATCTGCTGTGTACCATCTTAACTCCAATAATTTCAGTTGAATGTTAAGAGTTTTTAAGGATTTAATATGTTAAATATGTGGAATGTATTATGTCTTGTTTATTTAAGTTACTTTTTGATTTGTTATATATTATCCTTGGCACTGAATGTTTGCCACTGTGTTTTATTTTGTCGTAAGCTGCCCTGAATCCCTTCAGGAAGATAGGGCATGATATAAATCTATTATTATTATTATTATTATTATTATTATTATTATTATTATTATGAAGGACAAGAACCTTTTGCAGTAGCTCAGCTCCAGAGCTTGGAAAATTTAATGTTTACGCTGAAACTCTGGCATTAAATAATATACAATTCAATGACATTTTCGCATAAGAATTTACACCTGGTTCACTGTATTGCATTACATTAATTACTACCCCTATATTAATTACATTATTTACTAAAAAAAATGACTCAACCAGGGGCAAAACTGCTCCAACCAACTCATTACATTCTGCACCTGCGAACACTCCTGTGGACATAGGGCATTTTTACACCTGAAAAATACTGGAATTCTCATTGCGTTTAGGAAGTGCACTCAGTGCAAGCTTTCTTTTTAAGGTAAATGGAAATTCTAAAAAATTACTAATTTGGTGTTTGTAATGAATTAATTTCAAAGGAATCCATGCTACATGGAAAGTCTACTGTCTCATAGTGCTAGCTCATTTTTTTTCTGCCAGCAGTATGTTATTTCAGAATTGTATAGCAGAGCTGACTCAAGTAGTCAAGGGCCTATTACAGTCTAACCCACAAAAGGATAAAGTGGGCTGCTTGGCAGCCTGCTGTGAGCAATTTGCATGGTACTTCACATAGAAAATCACTGATCTGTTCTCACTTGGACACAGGATGCTTGCCATAGATGCAGGCAAAACATCAGGAGAAATGCCTCTAGAACATGGCTCTATAGCCCAAAAAAACCCACAAGAACCTAGTGATTCCAGCCATGAAAGCCTTCGACAATACATCAAATTGTCCTAGTTTCTATAATGACCAGGAGGGCACTCATACAATGAAAGCAGTTCACCAACGTTGTCCATTCCTGGAATTCACTGGTCTGGTCACGGTGACATACCTCTTAGTTACGACCAGGCATGTAGCCGGGGGGGGGGGG